CCTCGGGCAGCTGATGCCCGGTAGGGAGACTGTGTTCCTTAGGGAGAACTAGTCTTCAGGACGACTGATGTTGAGGGCCACATGCAGCCCGAATTCGTTGGACGGAGGAGGGATGTCCTCGACCCTTTTGTCCTCATGGGCCTCCTGTCGAGGGGTGTCTCCTCCCCTGGTGTATCTCTTCAAGTGTCCATCCTTGATGAGTATTTCGATTGCGTCCTTATGGTGGATGCAATCCTTGCTAACGTGCCCGTGGTCGCAGTGGAAGTGAAAATATTTGGACTTGTCCATGTTGGCCTTGGGGGTGCTGTTTTGGGGAAACAGACACCTCCCCGGACAAACTCCGAGTTGGCACACTTAGCCAGGATGCGCTCGCGGGAAGCGACTAGGGCACTTCTACTCTCGGGGACGATCGTCTCGTCGTCGGTCTCCCCTATCCCGGGGGGCTGGAGCTCCCTCTTATCGGGCGGGACCCGCGGGGGTTTTGCGGTTACGGGAGTCCCGGGAAGAATTAGCAGCCTCGGTCTCCTCGTACCGTATGTAGTGGCGGGCCTTCTCGAGGAAGCCTCGCGGGGTGGTTGGCCGGTGGATCGCCACAGCCTCATAGAATTTGGAGCCACGACACAAGTCTTGCTCCATGAGATAACGCTTCATATTGTCTGAAGTCGTTACTTGGACCGCTTCCCTCGTGAATCTCTCGATGTAGTTCTTGAGAGGCTCGTCCGGGGCTTGGATGATCGCACCCAAGGCGGCCTCCATCTTCAGATGGTGTCGGAACGCCGTGAAATGTTGCAAGAAGAGATCCTTCAAGACCCTCCACGATGTGATGGATTCAGGCTATAGGCTTTTGTATCAAGCCATGGCTCCCTTCCTTAACTTCGTCGGGAAGAGCCTGCACTTGATGGCTCCTCGGACGTTCCGGTAGTCGAGCATAGCCTCGATATCTTCCAGGTGGTCGTCCAGGTCCGAGGTACCGTCGTACGTGGAGAGTACGGGTGGCTTCTCCATCCCGTGGGGGATGGGGGTTGCCATGATTTCCCGTGACAGGGGAGTCCTGTAGTCGTCCTCGTCACTGCGGACTGGGGAGCGTGAGGGCAAGGGATTGTGCCGAGGGGCTTGATTACGTCCCATCGACCTCTTGCCCGGGGCTTCCGGTCTGTTTGCTCTTGGGACCGGGGAACGCCCCTCCTTCTAGGGAGGCGATCAGACGTGCTTCTTGGAGGCCACTGGCTAGGGCCTCTCCAACTGTGGCCGGTGCCCCCGTTGACGGGGAGAGGGGCTCTGGGAGTCTTCGCGTTGATTTCTCTGCGGGGGAGAGCGAGACGATGTGTCTTGTTCCAGCATGCCGATGCACTCTTTGTACTGGAATAGTATCAGATTGGTTTGGTTGATGGTTGTGAAGAGGGCAGTCATCATGGGGTCTGCTCCAACTGGTGTAGGAACGGGTTGGAAAATAGCTGGACTCCTTGCTCGAGGGGCGGCGTGATGTGCCGCGTCCTCGGACGAATGGGAGGCAGTCTGACCGTCCCTCACGCCATCCTCACTGGGGTGGGATGACCCATCCCGGTCGTTGTCGTTGGTGATTGGGGAGAAGGCGAAATTATGGACAACATCCTCGTGACGTGGGCTAGTCATGATATCAGAGGTTGAAGTTTGAAGCTTTGGTTCTTCTGCTCGGAGGAACGGGGAAGTTTTAGATTCCCATAGATGGCGCCATTGATCGTACCTGATCAGAGAGATCGCTGGACTGCCACACGTCTGAGTTGTCGAACTGTTGACTTGACGGACAGAGGGGGGTGTACTTGAAACACATTCTGATGCCAAAGTAAGTGACGAGCAGAGCGATATCAAGCACAGAGAGAAAAAAGTGAGAATTAGATTACCTGAACCTCTAGTGGAAGAGAGTATTTATAATGAGCCTCCAGCACAGGGTCAACGGTTACTATGCGTTGGGCTGGGCTGCTAGGCCCAACGTTAGTAACTGTTAGGGCTGACGTGGCGTCGTGAAGACTAGCATGTGGTCTTCGCCCTAGTGTAACTGTTCCGTGCTATCTGGGAGGTGGAGGACCGAATAATCAGGACACGGATAGTTACCTGATGACGTGTATCCGCGTAGGGGACACGTTGAGAACGTGAAGGAGGTCTGAGGAGCTTCCCGAGTTGGATGGGTTATGCCCGACTGTGGGGCAGAAGAAGGGCCAGTCAGACAGCTATGAAGGTCCTGCCCGACTGCCGTTGGTCTGTGCCCGACGGGAGAAGATGTTCTGCCCGACGATGAGGTCTTATTAGGCCTTCCAACCTGGTGAGGTTTGGGCCTGCTCGACTATAGGTCAAGCTTCAGCCCAGTCCAGAATAGATATTAACATTCTTTGTCTCTCTTTTTCTGAAATTTGTCTTGTCATCAATAGAACACGTGGGAGATTGTTGTAAATTATTAACAATTAAAATATTTAGTGTGTTTAAAATGACAAGAAAATATTCAAGTGAAGATTAATTTTTGAATTCATAAATAGGCAACACTTGTGAAGCGTTGCAGTAGGTTTGAATTTAGAAATAGATAACGTTTGTGAAGTGTTGCAGTAGGTTTGAATTCAAAAATAAGCAACACTTTATGAAGTGTTGTAGAATGCAAAGCAATACAACCTTTGAAAATTACTGTTGTAGGCGAAACAATGCAACATTTGGTAAAAGTGCTACTGTAGGTGAAATAGTGTAACGTTTGAAAAGTGATGATGTAGGCAAAACAATGCAACATTTAGCAAACATGTTACTGAAAGTGTTGTTTCATCAAGGGTCGCAACCTTATGAAACAACACCAGTTTGCCCTATAAATTGAACATTCAGGATTCATAAAAACATATTAGAAAAACCTATCTTCTTCACACAAAATTTTGGATTTCATCTTCCCTACATTCGAGTTTTTATCGGTCTTATGCAAACTCGAGTATAAGCTGAATTATCATCGGTCTTGTGCAAACTTTAAGACAATTCGAGAGTGTTTGAAATACTATAAGAAAAGTAATTTGTTCACGATTCTAGCCTCGGTCTACTTGATTTAAATTAATTTTCTAACAGTTTTTATTCAATTCGTTAATCTTGATATCCTTTTTAATAGCTTCTCGTATAAGATAGCAGATTCACCAAAATTGGTTCTTTGTTTTCACCAATCACATTGATAAAACGAGATATGGATAAAGAGAAATTGTACTCGCATTGAAGCATAAATTATGTATTTTTAATCTTATTCTTATTTGTAGTTTTTGTGCTTTGTTGTTTAGACTAATTATTTGTATTATTTATGCACATTAGCGAGACTTTATATATCATTATTTGATTATAGTAGAGTTATTTATTTTTTCTTGATGACCCACAATTTTTATCTTTATATTAAGATGTTTTCCACGTTAAAATTTAATGTCTATGCACGTTCAATTTGTTCCAATTATTGCGATGGTTCTTGCAATTTTGAAGAATTGAATTTCTGGTGCAAATTATTCTATTATTGTATTTATTGTTAATTCCTCGTGACATGATTGGTCTAAAAATTAACTTATAGAAAATGTGAAATTAAACATGAATCATGAAAAGACACATACTGTGTTTTGAGGAAGAAGAAAATCTGCCCCATTTGTTTTTTCAATGCAGGATAAGTAGAAGGGCACGGATCATGGTGTATCAATGGCTAGATATGGATACTTTGACGGAGACAGAATGCTTGGATCATTACAAACAATTCACAAAGGCACTCCAAGGATAGGTGAAGAGGAAAAAAGTGAGTTTGTTTTGGTTGTCAACAGTTTGGTGTTTCTGGAACATGAGAAATAATAGAATGTTCAATGTAGAGTTTTGTGCAAATAGAAGACTTACTAACAAACATCACAGAAGTATCTTGGTTGTGGCATGTAATAGGAATCGAAGGTAAAAAGTGTGTCTATGAAAAAAGATATTGTCTTTAGAGGCGACATTATGGACGTGCGAGATGGAATTATCAACACAAATGTGTTTGCATGGACTTGACATATTGTAGGCATTATAGTTTGAGGGTGTTCAAATTTTTATCATTGGAGTAAAGTTCTTTTGATGTATTGAAATGAAAAAACTAATGTTAAACCTTTTATAAGTGAGAAGACCATAAACGTAATGCTTTAAGATTTTGGGTTAATATGTGATGTCCAACTTATTTTAAAGTGAATGTTGAAAACTTAATGTGATGATCTCCGAATCCGCTCATGACCCAACAGTGGTATTAGAGTCTAGTTTGAGTAGGGCTCCTTGTATCAAAAGTCTTTCTGATAAGGATGTTCAGGCGGCGTGTTCCGTTGAGGCCATCCAACATGGTGCAAATAGATATGGATGAAAAAAAGTTACATTTGAAAGGGAAAATACGCATAAGAATGGATGGACTCACATTTGAAGGAGAGATCGTTGGTATAACAAATGTGAGTATGAGTCTCACATTTGATAAAAAAAGTGGATGTTAAACATTTTATAAATGAGATGACCCATAAATCCAATGTCTTAAGGTTTTGGTCTTCTGAGAAAACTCAAATTGTGTTTATGGTGAGCATTTGGTTCACCTTAAATATGTCCTTGATGTTCTGCAGATTTATTTACTTCGTTTCACAAGTCTGTCATATGAATTACCAATGGAAAGTAGCAATTATGATTCAGTTGAAGCCAATCTTTGAGTGAAGCATAATTTAATATCTTTAGATGAGTCTTTTTTTAGTTGGAGTTTGTAAAAGAAGCTTATAAAATACTGTTAAGAAAATGGTAACAATATAGAAAAACAGAAAGAATCTATGTTTTATTATAACTGATATTGGCTTTTTTCACCAAATTACAAATATCAAGACTTTAAGTAGTTTGCTAATCCCTATCAACTGGGAAAAAGCAAAAGCCTCTAAAAAGAAAAAAAAAAAAAACTTCTTTATTTAATACTCTTCCATTTTATTGGAGGTATAGCAAAACAACATTCACAAATGAATCAAACTTTGCTAGTTTCACTTCTTGTCCATTCCAAGGGTGTGCTTCACGGTCTCCACAGCACCATGAGCCATGTTCTTCACTTGCTCTCCAGTCTGCAACAAAAAAATATATATGTTTTTAAGAACTAATTTCATATTATATATGTATATATAGATAGATAGATATAGTTGTTTGAGGTTAGGTAGAAACCTGTTGGAGAAAACCAGCAGCTTCCTCCTTGTTTTTTTCAGCAGTCTGTCCAGTTGTGTTAGCTGCTGCATGAGCATGCTCGGCAGCCTGTCCAGCAGCTGAGTGGGCATGGTCAGCAGCCTGTCCAGTAGCTGCCTGGGCATGCTGTCCGGTAGTTGAATGAGCGCGGTCGGCCGCCTCTTCAGCATGTGCATGAGCCTGCTGATTGGCTGCATGAACACGGTCAGCAACGTGCCCAGCAGTTACCTGAGCATGCTCGGCAGCTGCAGAGGCGGATTCCTTGGTGGATTGAACCCATTCTTCTGCCTTACCCTATCAATATTTAATAAAAAAATTAACATAATCTATAGTTTTTTTTCTCGCACTCTGATTTCAAGGAAAATGAACCCTAGTAATTCAGAGCTCGTGCCGAGAGGTATTGTTCCTACCAGAAATCCAAATGTTACTAAAATACATAATTAATAATTTATGGTTTTACCTGAGTCTGGCCTTGGGCTTGGGCATGGGAGAATTCTTGTTGAGCACTTGACATGATGATTAATGTGATTGAGAGAGGAGAATATTACAATGAATAATAGATAGATATGACAAGTTTGAGTTGATGTTATTGTTCTCAATTCATAGGGTATATATAATGTTTTGGTTTGCATGAAAATGTTAAACGTAATGCATAGAGATAGGATCTGTAGCTATTGCCGCAAATTTCTGCTTCTGAAATGGATTTTGTATGACTGAATACATGTAAGCCTCTAATTAACATGAGAAAACTACGCATCTCCGGTTGTATTAGAAGAAAAAATAGTTACTATTTACACACCCCCAATTATAGAGCTTCTTACACTCTAGCAATATTTTTATTGATTTAATGCGAAAAAAAGAAATATGTGAAAAAATATTAGTCATGTTTTAATTATGATTAATCTTTTTCAAAATATCTTAGTGTTCATCTTTAATTGGATCTCTTCTCCAAACAACATTATTACCATCCACCAATATTCTAGCTGATAGCATGTTTAAGGAATCCAATTGTAGCTTCATAATGTTGGTAATAAATATGTAAATTGATGGTACACTTTAATGAAAAAATATAATTTATGTCAAAAAATATCACAATTATCATTTATGTCAAAAATTGCTAATATCATAAATGTAAAATAAATTCTATAAACTTTAGAGGTGATTTACAAATTTTTAAATAAACTGTACAATTGATTAAAAAACATCACTGTTACATTTTTATTTAAAGATAGTTTTCTTATAAATATAATTATTATTGTTTTTACCTGATTCACAACCAATGTCACGACTTAAAAGATTTGGGCCCAAAAATATGAAGTTCAATGAAGCAAGGGTCATTCATACTGCTATACTCTAATGTACACTAAAGAAATGTTCTACAATTTTGAGAATAAGTGTGGACATGTCTTAGGAACACACCTAATACAAAAAAAAAAAAAAATGTTTATAGAAGGACGGTTAGATGACATATAAATTATATTCTAACATGTGTATCTGAATGACAGTTATTATTCTAAGGATTATAGAACTCTATAAACTCTAAAAAAGCCCCTATAAAAGGGATCACAAACGATAAATCAATGTATACATAAATTTCTAACCTAAACACCTCTCACATACGATAGTCATTAACTTGAGAGTCAGTATGTTTGCAGATACCACACTTATCTCTCTTGTGGTAATAAACTACGAAGGATCCATATTTACGAAGTTGCATGGACCTGACAAAATTCACAATCGAGTGAAATGTCCTTTTTATGAAAGATGATTGTTGTTATCTTTGAGAATGATAAATAACATTTAACCACCAATTCAAATGCTAAAATAGAAAACTAGAGAAAAAGAACAACTAGTAACTCCAACCACCCACATTGAGCCCTCCTCACATTTCTTGAGTTTCGCCTTCAAATCCTTCTCGACCTGGTCTTGCCTCCCTTGGTCGACATCCTCCAACATTGAGCCCCCAATAAAAGGTTATCATTTATGCCAATAAGTGTCGAAGGCAACTTCAATTGGAGGGATTTGTAATCGTTGGGGAGCTTTTTCGGAAAGGGAAAATAGGAACATATCAACTGGATCGCATCAAAATCAACATTGCTTCACATAGAAGGTTGGGGTGGTGGAGCCTCGCCATCAGATGGCCTCTGAATGCTTACCTCTCCAGAACAGGAGAGACAAGCTGTCCCCAACAACCTGTGAAGATCCCTTTCCCTGTTTTTGGGCCTTTATGTTGGGTGAGTCAGGTGGTTTCCTCTCGGCTTGCATTTTCCCGCCTTTAACAACAAAGCCCTCTAAATGACTCTAAGGACTATTAATTTCCCCATGAAAAACCTGGATTTTGTCCCACATTTTCTTCCGCTCCTCTAGGGTAATCTTTGCCATATGACCTGCAAAAAAATGCATAAAGGTCACACACATTATTTAAAAACATTCATAAATGTTTTTAGGTCATTCAAAGCTTACTCAAGTAGTCATTGAAGGAATCACCGCCCTACAACCACAAACCAATCACTGTATGGGAGTCCGTGACTTCAAACTTACCTAAAAGGAAAAATATCCTCAGCTATCTAAGAGTAAGGTACTTACTATCTGTTCCGGACTGACCCAATGGCTAGACATGACCTAATCCACTTCTGCACCTCAGAACGAACCAATAGCCTAAGCCCTGCCAGTTAAGGGCAAAGGAAAGCATTTTTTATTCTACCCCTCAGCCGAGGAGGACTGGCCAGCTGACCCTAGGATCAACTGCCCTTTGCCACATTTCTTCCCGTCACGCACGGTTCAACCATCTAGGAACGGTCGCGACGCCCTTGCCCGCAACCACGCCCCCTGCTCAAAGCAACGGCTAGTTCCAAGCATGTTTGCCCGTATCAACAGCTAGTTTCTAGCAGTTATCTATTTTGGGGAGTGAGTATCTCGGCCCGAAAATAGGGACCAATGGCCAAGCGCTGAGGGCATCATAAAAACCCTCTCCTTGGAGAGGGTCAGGTATCCACTAATCATCCTAAGAAATACTTACTTTGTACTTGCCTTCTCATCTCCCGATTCTTACTTTAGCATCAGAGTGTCTTGTAGGTACACCACCTCCTCCTTGGATTCCAACATCGTAGATGAAGTCTCTGCCCCACTCCAGGTTCTGATCAACCGGAAAAAGCAGTAGTGCCGTCTGTGTGAATTTCTGTTTTCTCCATCTTTCTTTCCTCGGAAACCAAAGATCAAAGCAATTTTTCAAGATTCTGATCATGGCCAACCACGATAACGTCCACGATGCGTGCAACACCTTCATCCCCTTGTCAGCAAGATAGACAACGATGGGCCAAACCACTTTCTTGGAGACAATATTCCTCAACAGAAGGATAGAGTCACCATATCTCCCTCCCCGAATTGCGCCAACAACGTAGAGATCCAGTACTCAGAGGACCATCAGTTTGTCCTAGTTCTGTCCAACATTGACCCGACCATGGTAGCTCTGGTCGAAGCACTCAACAAGACGAACCTTCTGATCCTCTAGCATAATGTAAGAATTAGATCATTGGACGAGATTCTCCATCCAAGATTTCCTACATCAAGGCGCGAGCGCCAGAGATCCCAAAGCCCTTCTCCCCAACGCAGAAGGAATCTCCAGATGCCAGCGGAGCCAAAATCCTTGCCAATGATAAAACGTGACCATACTCCTCCCTGGAGCCAGCACTCTTCAGGGGCCAAAAGAACAAGAAGAGATCTGCAAGAAGAAATCTGACGTTCACCTCCGCCCAGACCTAAGGGCCAGTCGCGAACTCCTTCTCCTAATTGAGATCATGGTCCTCACCCTGGCAAAGATTCCCGCACACGTTCACGGTCGAGTAGCTACGGTGACGATGAAGAACCTCGAGGCCCATTATCCTAGGAGATCATGGCCACTCGGTTACCTAGGGAGCTGGAGAAACCCCCACACTAGGTCACATACGATGGTGCAACCGATCCCGACGAGCACATCGAGAACATTGATACCCTACTTAACTACAGTGGTGTTAGAGGTGCCATCAAATACAAGTTATTCCCAACGACGCTGAGGAAGGGAGCAATGTCCTGGTACAAGAGCCTCCCCTATGAATCCATCACCTCGTGGAAGCGGTTAGGAAGGATGTTCTCGAGACATTTTATAGCATCTCACCATCATTCGAAGACAGAAGCCTCCCTCGAGGCTACCATTCAAGGAAAACACAAGTCTCTTCGAGCTTACATCGAAAGATTCAATAAAGAAACCGTTCAGGTCTTCACGATTGACGGCATGAAAAAATATTTTCTAGAATGAGGACTCCGTCCCTGCAGCGACTTTGCCAAGGAGGTTGGAATTGAAACCCCAGCAACACTGGACGCCCTCATCCTCAAGGCTCAGGCGTATATCTAGTATGAAGTGTAAGTGCTCTTGATTGCCTGCATTTTGTGGAAAAACTTTAGAGTTTGCATGTATGTCATACTGAATGTTAGAACATACTTAATGATGTGTGTGCAGGGTAAGTTAACTATAAGGTAAGTTGAATGTCATGAGACTGACCGTATGACATCCAGCAGGCAAGTTATTTTTTCTGGTATCTAGAAATCAGGAATCAAATCAGGAGCTCAAGCTGAAAGACATGAGACATTTGAGACCCCTAAAGCGAAACAAATGGTCCTGAATTAAAGGGCAAGCATGCAGAGAATTGAAGAGTAGGGTTTGTTATGATTAAACCTAACTATGTGCACCAAGGCCCAAAGGACGGTATGCACTATAAATATCAGAAGGAGAAATCCTAGAAATTAAGTACTTAATAGAAGATCAGAGAGTGCAGACCAAGAGTCCTTGTGAGTGAAGAAGGTTGTTCTTCACGTGAGTATTGTGAGTGAAAAAAGTGTGTTCTTCACGTGTGTATTATGTCTTAGGAATACTTGTTCACCAAGCAACTGTATGCTGCATTGGTTAGGTAGTTTCTAAGCTGTAGTGCCATTCAAAGCTTTTAAGCAAGAGTGTGTGTCACTTGATCAAAGTTGTGAAGCAAGATCAAGGTGTGTATGAAGTGTTTCTTCATATTTATTCTGTAATTATGTATCTGATATCACTGTGGTGTGATTGAGGGGGAGTGAGTGGGAATACTCAGGTCTAGAGTGTCTCTAAGTTGAAGTGTCATTGGATAGAGATTAAGTGAGGAGTGCAAACTGGTGTGTTTGACTCTGAATTGATTCTGCTAATAGTGAATTTCCTCCCTGGCTTGGTAGCCCTCAGATGTAGGTGTTGTTGACACTGAACTGGGTGAACAATTGTTGTGTTATTTACTGCTTTTTCTTACAGTTTAAATAGTTAGTAGAATAGTCAATGTCACAGTGGATGTTATAACTTTGGCAATAACATCCATCGTGTGCTTGCCAGAATTTCATGAAGAAAGGGAAGCAACAAATGCTTCCCGGGACTCAAGGCACCAAGAGAATGCCAGGTTCTCAAAACACGACAAATCCTTGTCAACTCGTTGGGGAGCCGAAAAAAGAAGGGATGACCGC